CTGTTATGTGGATTCAGATGAGTTGCTACAACTAACTGTTGCAGTAGCATATTTAGACCAAAATTCTATGTTCAAAGGGGCATAACTCTAAGAAGAATAAAAATTGAATCATAATTTCCTGTCATTTTGCACATCTATTAAGTATGTCCTTAACAGTAACCTACAAAGTTTGATTTTGATATGGTTTCAGAGGGGTGGGATGGCAAGAGCAGGACTGATGAATAGACAGACAGACTGACAGACAGATCTACTTTCAATATTATTATTTTCTTTACACTTTCACCTCAGCATCACTTGTACCTATGTGTTTTTTATTCATTCTATTATATGTAATTCTGAATATTTCATGAAATTTTTGTTTTAAGTATATTCATCTTATACCCTATAGCGGTTATGACAAAATGGATTAGTAAAAACTGACTGTTGTCAATGTAACAAAAATAAGATACAGTCTGTGTTTGAGACAATATATGTCAAAAATGAAAATTCTAAAACAGAATATGAAAGTAAATTTTACTAGCTAAAATGAAAGATACAACAATGAAAAAAATATATAATTTTTCCATCACATTTAATTGTAGTACAGTACAGTCTTAAGTCTCTTCTTCAGTGTACATTTAAAATTCATTTATGCCATGTCAAGTTTTTTGTCTCTTTTGATCAGGAGGAGATAATCCATTCTCTTCTTCATCATCATCATCATCTTCTTCATTATTTTCTTCATCATCTTTATTTTTTTCTGCAGACTTTTCATCTATTTAAAATTTTACTTAACATATTATATAGGTAAATATATAAAAAAAAATCTTTATTAAAAATCTATATCTTTGCAATTATAGTTAATATATATATGGAGATGTGGTATGAGTGCCAATGGCAAAGATACAACTCTCCATCCAAGTCACAATTTGTAAAAGTAAACCATTATAGGTCAAAGTACGGTCTTCATTTTACCATGTTAATTGTCCATTATCAATACTGCCAACTCTTGCCAATTTCGCATGAGATGCCAGTCTTTTGTCCAGCAATACTAAATTCTTTTAAAAGAATAATCACCCAAATTAAAAACAGTATTTTCTTCAATGAAAAGGGTCCCATGAATAACCTGTTTGTTTGTATTTATTCATTAGACATTTGTGTACACAGTTGCGGATCCAGAGGGTGGGGTCCAGGGGTTGGACCCTCCCTTTTTTTTTTACAACCAATGCTTTGGAATGGGGACATATGGTTGAACCCAACCCCTTTTATCCTGGGTTGGAACCCCCTTTTAAAAATGGCTGGATCCACCCCTGCTACAACATATATAAAATGATAAAATACTAATTCATTTGTTGTATATCTGTATTTTTTTTTAAATCAAGTATCATTAGTCATGAATTTAAAAATTAATCAAAATAAAGAACTTAAGTTGAATAGTTAACATGATTCTGTGATTTTTTTTAGATTTAATTAACATTTCAAATGTGCTCGACTTCAACACACTGTATGAGGGTCATGATGGATGGTACATTCATGACAAAAAAAGTAAAAATTCATGTCAAATGATGTTAACGGTAATTTTTGGTGCATGACAATAAAATGTACACTCTCTTTTAGACGATAAAAAAAAAACGGCTAATCAGTTTAAATTAAAAAAAAAAGTCAGGGACACAAATTCGTCGGACAAAATAAATTAATAAATATAAGTCAGATTTTATGAGTCGTGGCATATGCACCAGACAAAAGGTGTTTTTAAATACAAGGAAAACCCAATATATCAACGAAATAGGGCCTCTTTTGCTGTGCATAAGATTAAAACTTGTCACCAGGTCTTCAGCAATCTGCTTTTTAATATTCATTTACAATGACAACACATTAATATTATCGAAATACAAATGATGGAAAAATGTTGTACGGGTGAACAAAAAATTGAACAGCGAATCGTTTATTATTATTTAAATGTAAATGTATACTTTATCATTTATCATTAAATACGTTTCGCCAAATATGAATAAAAAATATCTTTATAGTCTCTATTATATGAAATTATACGAACTATGAACTATCATGAACAAGAACCCTTATAGTAAAACTCCATTATGTCCTTTGAACATGCAGATGAGTTATCCCGACGAAAACAATTTAATATAATTAAATATAATTTTATTTTGTATTCAATATTTATCGTTTCTATTTGAACAATAAAAAATAGCCGCAGTGAACACTTTGAATTTGAACTTATTATGTATTATTTCATTTATTTAAGAACAACTGGAATTTATTTTACATGTATAACAGTATGATCTCGCTAATGTACGTTGTTTTCGAATATTACATTTGTGTTGGTTATTTTTTTTCAAAGACAACTCTTCAAAACGCCGGAGACCTAAGAACTTCTTAATCTAAACTGACTTTTCTGACATCAAAATATAGCTTTTTGACAGGAGTATTCAAAAGTATGTGTTAATAGTATTTCCTTCGCATAGTAAGTGTGCTTCAATTTTTTTAGTTACTGCTGTCTCGTTTCTTTTGAGGTAATTCATCGTTATTTACTGATGTGAGTAAGGTAATTTAGATAATGAAAATCGGAGACCTAACAATGAGATAAGATAAACTGATTTTTTTATACCACCAGAAAGGTAAATCTATGTAGAATTCGGTCGTATGTGTTAATAAGAATTCAGATGATTAATAAAAATAATATGAAGAATTAATGAAGGGTACCCATTTATTTTCCCATTACTTTCTATATTAATCGAACATCATTAAAAACATTGCACCCCGGGTGTTGCGTAATCGGCCATTAGTGTCCTTCATTCTTGGAAATGCTGAGTAGTCATGGTCCTTTAATATCCCAGTAGCAGAACTTTTTAAACCAACAAATTTTACAGAATTAAATTCATATGTACATGTACATTTTCTGAAATCTTTTTAATATCATGACGGACTACAGAGCAAAAATAAAGAGAAACAGTTTGTGTCATTGTTTCTTGGATTTGGAATATATGTTATCTTCTTCCCAGCTTTTTTGAATTAATAACTAAATATTAAGAGGGTAAAACAAACAATTTTGTATATTGGTCAATAATAAATAATGTTGAACCATGTTAAAATTTTTTTTTTTTCAAATATTGTAACAGTTCTGTTTCCAATAGAACAGAAAAGCACAGATAGGTTGAAAATGACAGATTATGACATTGATTAGAAAAAAAAGTCAAGATATGTGAAATCGTTCAGTGATTTTCAAACATACGTTCAATCGGTCAAAATGACAGAAAATTACCGACGTCTGCTTCATGCATCCGATGCGATTATCTCCCTTATATTACTTGATAGACAGCTTGTCACAAGCGTCAGTTGCATAGACCGTTGACCGTAGACGGCACATTCCCGTGGGTATCCACTTTTGTCTAACATCAATCTTCAAAGACAAATTAAATGTTAAACAATTTCTTTCATGTCAATTTTATCTAGTCCTTTGTTCGGGCTGAATTGAGGATACAAACTCTTCATAGATACCAGGAAATGCGGCACTGACCCCAAAATCAATCTTTATAGTAAGAAAAGTCCAAATTACTAGAATATGTTATCTTTCCTCGTGGAAAACAAAATGATAAAATGGGAATTAATATAAATAAAACATCTTAATGTGGTCAATTTCCAACCCCCCTCCCCCACCCCCACCGATTTTACACGTAAATAAAGTCAGATTAAGATCAAGTTAACCTATAAGACTGGATGGAGAATTCAGATAGATAAGCAAATAGAAAGGTAAACAAATTGTATATTTTCAATATTTAATAGACTCATTGATACATTAATAAGGGTTTGGATCATTGGGTCCTTCATTTCCTTCAGTTTTAATTTTTCAGACCATTTTTCTCTATTCTTTATTTATTTTGAACCTTATTCTCTATCTTTATTTATTTTGAACCTTATTATATAGTCTTTATATTTTAGCACTCCATTATTCTCTATTCTTTACTTTTTCTATTCTTTATATCTTTGCCCCTTTATTCTGCACTTTTTGCTAATTTTTCTCTATTCTGTAAATCCCATCCAGACCCTCATCATTATTATATGTGTTTTCATGGACGTAAAAATAAAATTTACAAATCTTGAGGAACTGCTTAGTTCAGTCTTGAGTAAAAAGTAAAATAACTCCAAAGAAAATTCAAAATGTTCCTAAATTCACTATCAAAGTTTTCTTAATTGTACAAATTTTCTTGGTAGAGTCTTTGGTGGATTTTTTTTTATAGTGACAACCGTAAAAGAAATTTTGATTGACTTGGATGGAATAACATCTTTTTTTATTTTTCTTGAAACTTTGCTAATATATTATGTCCCAGCTTTGATGGACTCGGACGAAAATTATCCAACCACAGTGCAGTTTTTTTCTGTGACCAAGTTTCTGATGTAATAGTGACAACCGATGACTTGGACCAAGTTTACCTGTTCAAAGAAACCTTTGACCAAAGTTAACTTTGATAGTGACAACTGAACTTTAACGAAATTCATTCCTGATTCCAACCCGAAATTCCAAACACCCACCTCATTTCATCGACTTCGCGATGTGATCCAATGTTACGCCGGTTTTATCATTTCTCATATTGTTGTAAATCCATTATTTCAAATTGGATGATTGTCACCCCTTTAAACTTTAACTTATTTACCAATTTGTAGTCATTTGTCGTCTATTATAAAACATGGCAAATAGTCGATCTATTTACTCATCAAATCTCAATTATTGCGGTTTTTTAAAATTCATTTTATTGGAATATAAAGGATTATATTACTTCAGTTATGTAAAAATCAAATTATTTAACAAATCATTTTCGTAACAACTACGTAAATAAGTCATAAAGACAATAAAACAACAAACAGATTGTTTATTTAATTAAATAAGCCGTTTTGTATTTTCATTGGTCGAAATATCACTGAGAAAACAAGAATTATTATTTTCAAAATCAATGTGGGAATATTTGTACGGCGATCATGTGACCGTGGGAGAAAATCTTTTACGTGCATAGTGAAACCGAATCTCACAGCAGTCGCTAAGTTTATCAGTAACAGTGGATTACCATGGCGGTATGACTAAACACACAAAGTTAATGGGATATAAATGTTTTCAAATTTTAATTCTGATTTGGATTTTTGTGTATTTTTGTGATGGAGACATAATAATTTCACGATGCCATGAAGAGTGTGCGAGACAGGTGAGAAAGAAAAGTTTTTTTTCTGCACTCCCCCTCTTTTTCTAATTTTCTTGAAATTTTCTCACGTCTTTCTGTGTCACGCGCTATCAAATAACAGATTGTTGCATCGTCTGGTTTTTCCCGCTGAATTTCTTTCTTCAACAAAACCTTAAAGCCGATTTGATAAATCTAGAGAATTTGTTTATCATTAATTAAAGCTTAATGCCAAGAGTTTTCTATCTATGATCGTTGCTTTAGTTACATATAAATCATTGTCTGCAAACTTAGTTTACAGATGACATTTTCTCTACGATTGTGCATTTCATTTCTTTGTATGCATTGTCTTAAAAGTCACGAAATTTATGTGTGGGAAAGAAGGAGTAAATGACATTTTGCGCTATTAAATATTATCAAGTTGTGTCAAATTTCTTCATTTTCATTGAGAGCTTTTATCAATGTGATTTTGCAAATTAATGAAACAAATACTTTTATATTCGAAGATGAAAATTTAAAAACGTGTATGTAGAGCATTTTTCATTTTTGTGGTCGACTAAGTATCAATGGAGAAGGTGGTGAGACTGGGGTGCTCATTTCCCAAATCCCGCTTTTTTAAAAAAAATTCCCACATCCCACTTTTGTTCCCTTCTTTTTCAAGATCCAAATTTTTAATCCTATATCCGACTTCATTTCTTTTTTAACACCCTAATTCCCACATCCCAAAAAGAGCCTCATCCTTCTCAACGAAGGGTGTAAGCTAGGGAACGACCATTTAACTTCAAGGGGGAGGGGTTATGGTTTTTTCCTAAAAAAATATTCTGATCCCCAATTTGATGAAAAAAATATTGTGGTCAAGCAGATGACAAATAAAAAATTCTGAATCCAGATTTCCCCATACCTTATAGTGTTAAATTTTGAAAAAAAATAATTTGATTGATAGAGTCGAAAAACTAAAAAAAAAATTGTTCGCGCTTAGCACGAAAAAATTTTTCTGACTCAGACGAAAAACCATAACCCCAACTTGAAGTTAAATGGTTGCTCCTTAAGAGGGGACATCAGCAACAGTATCGGATCAAATCAACAAGGCCTGAACCGGACACCCGTGGCCAACCAATTATTTCTTACAGACTTTAATACAATACTTTTTCAGTGACCTTTTCGAATATTTCAATATGTTTTTAATAAAATGGACATACTTTGGTTGAGAATAGATGTGCCAGTTAGTAAAGCTGTTATAAACGAAAAAAAATAATAAAGATTCTATTGCGAATACTATCTGGTAACGCCTGGACTGCACACTCGGCCAATAACTGCGATAGTCCATAAAATGTGGGGGTCATGTCCGAAAACCTTAAACGAACATCGTTTCATGGTCTGTTTTAGAAGAACATTTACCGAGGAATCTTTTCATTATTTGATGCATACATTTCTTTTTTCTATAGAAAAGCAAACAAATAAGGCTTGCAAAAAATGTTATTTTTTTCACATTCAAGCAAAAAATTTTACATAATCCAGATGGATTTAAAAATTTTCAAATTGCATACTCTTGTGTTGATATTCAAATAAAATATTTTAAATATGGTGGAAAATTAGTCAGATTTTGTCTTAAATAAACAAAGGTGTCGAATACGTGTCATCACGGTCACAAACAGGTCATTCAGGTCATTCCATGGTGCAATTGCTTATTCAAATTTATAGAATTGCAAAAGTCCCGTTTTCGATTTTTTAATTTTAAATAAAAGATGCATATATTTACGAATTTCGGTTGTTTCATATCTTTGAATACATTTTTTATGAACATATATCATGTTTATATCTATTGTTTTTACACAACGATTTTTTTTAGAAATGCTTACTTTGGCAATGGCTACTTTAGCAATGATTACTTTGACATTAAATACTTAAGCAATAATTACTTTAGCAATGATTATTGTAGACATGTTACAATGAAAGAACAAAGTCAATGAAACAGCAACCCGGCAAAACCATAAAACGAAAATGCATCAAAAAATCTGTACCCCAATCGGCTAGCCTCGGGTGACTCCGCTTCTCTCCATCTATCCCTCGGCTGTATTACTATTTGTTAGATGGAGGTACGGAAACGATCGAGAACCACTATATATACGGTCATCGTTGTCATGGTTAAGGAGCCATAACAATTGTCAAGTTAAAATTTTCATCTTAAAATGAAAATGTGTCTTATTAGCATGAAGAGTGTGAAAAAAAAATACACATAGTTCAGTCCAAAAATTCTACAGCAATGAGTGTAGGAACTATCGGGACAATAAGTTTGCAGCAATAATTACTACAGACATGTCCATGATGTTAGAATGTAGGAACTATCTGTCCAAAAATTCTACAGCAATGAATACTTAAGACGTGTTAGAATGTAGGAACTATATGTCCAAAAAATCTACAGCAATAATTACGTCAGACATGTTCATGATGTTAGAATGTTGGAACTTTCTGTCCAAAAAAATCTACAGCAATGAATACTTTAGACATGTTAGAATGTAGGAACTATATATATGTCTGAAAATTCTACAGAAATGGGTACTTATTTTAAGACATGTTAGATAAAAGGAACTATATGTCCAAAAAATCTGCAGCAATGATTACGTTAGACATGTTCATGATGTTAGAATGTTGGAACTTTCTGTCCAAAAAAATCTACAGCAATGAATACTTTAGACATGTTAGAATGTAGGAACTATATGTCCGAAAATTCTACAGCAATGAGTTCTTATTTTAAGACATGTTAGATAAAAGGAACTGTATGTCCAAAAAATCTACAGCAATGATTTCTTAAGACATGTTAGAATGTATGAACTATATATGTCCAAAAATTCTTCAGCAATGAGTCCAGATTTTAAGACATGTTAGATAAAAGGAATTATATGTCCAAAAAATCTGCAGCAATGATTACGTCAGACAATGTTCATGATGTTAGAATGTTGGAACATTCTGTTTAAAAAAAAACTACAGCAATGAATACTTTAGACATGTTAGAATGTAGGAACTATATGTCCGAAAATTCTACAGCAATGAGTTCTTATTTTAAGACATATTAGATAAAAGGAACTATATGTCCATAAAACTACAGCAATGAGAACTTAAGACATGTTAGAATGTATCAACTATATGTCCAAAAATTCTACAGCAATGAGTCCAGATTTTAAGACATGTTAGATAAAAGGAACATTCTGTCCAAAAAATCTACAGCAATGAGCACTTTAATTTATACATGTTAGAATGATAGAACTTTCTGTTAACAAATCTACATCAATGAGTACTTTAATTTATACATGTTAGAATGATAGAACTTTCTGTTAAAAAATCTACATCAATGATAACTTAGTCATGTTGGAATGTAGGATCACAGTTTGAGTTTGCGTCAATGACAATACTTTTTTATTCTGAATTTCTAGAAACTTATAATCCCCTCTTCCACACACGCATATGTATGGTCGGTGACTTAAGAAGCACATGCTGCAATTTTAATTTGAAATAATACATTTGTTCGTAGATATCTGAAAATTATACCATTTCCTGTTGACCCGACAATTAAATAAACATTAGAATAATTTAACGTCAATGCAAGAAGTGTTTAAATTAGAAATCTTCGTAAGTTAGACAAGGTTTTATATACCTGCATGTGCAGGAAAGAATACGCAATAAATCTGCTACTAACATTAATGCGTCTGCTTTGATACTACCAGCACGGAAATAAACTTACAGATATGAAATGACACTGTTTGCGACACGGTCACAGATAAATTTTGAAATTTCCAATATCATGCAAAAATAGATATATCATGTACAATTATATATATATATAGTCATCTCTCTTATACATTTGATTTTTCAAATTTACAAAAAATCGTCTGCTTTGACGCGCACTGCATTCGGAGGTAAATATATATTTCCAATAATGTGCAATTATAATGTTTTATCCAGAATTCTATCATGAAAATGTTATTTATGTGCAGTATTGACAATTTTACAATATTTTTTTGTCATTTTCGCCTTTAAGTTTGAAAACCACGATAGATAGAAAAAAAACTTGAATAGCATAAATGATTAGCAAGACAAGATTTACAAATTTTCAGTAGACTAATTATATGATTTTTCGCCTTTATTAGTATTTTTTTTTACCCATATCTACATTTATGGCGAAACAAAAGTAAATATAGAAAAACTGTAGACAGCAAAAATGATAAGTAATGCAAGATCAACAAGCAGGTCAGCATAGCCGAAATAGTCAGTAGTTTTTTAACCTTTTTGTTTACAATTTTGGAAAAAGCTATATAGCGGATAGAGGGAAACTGTAGATAGTCAAATATGATTAGCAAGACAAGATTTACAAATAGTCAACATGGTGAAAATTGTCACTTCTTTCAGGAGTTATAGCTCTTGAATCATTCGGACGATTTTTTTATTGCTTTTTGTGCTTTTGGCAAACACTATAGTGGATAGAAATAAACTGTATACAGAAACAAAAACTTATATTTATACAATATTAACAAAAAAGAGATTTTAGTGATGGATTAGATTCTTGCGTCTTGTTTAAGAGTGACTGCTTATAAAGATTATTTAAGGTGAGCCACACAGGCTCTTGGGAGCCTTTAGTTTTATATACATTCTGTACATTCCGTTAGTGTGATAGAATTTGCCTTTATAGTCTTTCTGTATATGACTGCCAAGAATGTTACTGTTTGTCAAAAAGTTGCTATGCACTAATGCGAAGCAGTATTTATAGTTTTAGTACATATGTCAATCTTAGTAGGGAAAACAATTTTTTCGTAGTATCATTGGACAGATACGTTATATATCTTAAAGGGGTGAAGATAGAATATTATGATACATATTGTGTTGGTGAAAATCTGTGAGCTACTACAGCTTCCCGTTTGTTAAACCTTTCACTTCAAAGGTATTTGTCCTTGTGGGTGGCGCAGATTGTTACAGAGTTGATTTCGCGCAACATGATTGCTTGTGCTATTCAATCGGTGAATATATAAGCACGA